AAACTATTACGAAAGATGCCACGACGATTCTTCATCTATGAATTTCAAACGACTTTTTTCTATTGGAGCGGATAAAGCTCTTATAAGTTCCATAATTGCAATCAAAGAAGGAAGAATGTTGTAAAGAATGTTGTCAGAAGGAGGAAATAAGTAGTATAGCATTTTTCGTAAATACTATAAAAATATATTATGCACGATCGTCAATTTCACGTTACACCTGCGATTGTAATGTCATGCAGTTTTCTCGACATATTACACACTATTTTAAATGTGAGCAGTAGATTTCCTAAAGTCTCAGCTATAACATCAAAGATTTGTCCTCAACGGCAATATATTCTAAATAAAAGTTTATTGTTTTGAAGGATTTTCCGACTACAATATTCTCTATAATCAGGACAGAGAGCCGAGTTTTTTTTATGTTTATGATGCGGATGAGATTTTTGTGCAAGTTGTAACAGCAAACAAATCGTTCTTTAATCATAATTAAACTGGCAATAAACAACGAGTTTATTAAAACAAGTTTTAAATCGGAGAAAAGTACTGTTTTGCATAAAATTAATTCATCAGAACTAGCTCGAAAAAACAGAAAATTAATGTATAATTAATGGCATGTAAATATAAGCGTATTGTGTGACTTTTGCTGAATTTAATTTATTGTTTATTTTCTTTCACAATTTATAAGAATTTTATTTGCAATATATATAGGCATTTCATAAGAGATTATAGTATAAAAATAATTATACTTTTAGCAAGCACTAATTTCTCAGATTTTTTTAAATTCTGGCAAGGAATGTTAAATGAATAGATTAAACTTTAACGAATTATTGAAAAAATATTAATTTAACGTCTTATCAGCTCTAATAGATAATTGTTTTATATAAAAATATTACATTTAAACATTAGCGGATATTTTTAATTTAAATAACATTGATAAAGTCAATAATTAACATTTTTAATCTTATTGTATGTTAACGCACAAAAATTACATACTTTCTCTCTCTCTCTCTCTCTCTCTCTCTCTCTCTCTGTTTATTAAATACTTTATTATTACGTTTCGTTGTGGTGAAGGATTGCAAATTGCTTTCGCCGAAGGCACTTCTCGCTCGGAAAACCGTTTGCGAGGATTAACTCGGTAATCCTTTAAATGCACAGAGAATACGACGTGGAAAGATTCGAAAGTGCAGGAACTAAATAAATCGGACGATGTCCTTAGCACGCTTTTATCCGCGCAAACCGTTTAGATTTATTAAACCTATATATACTTTGCGCTGCCTTAAGGAAAAGCTTCGATACGGTTTATTTTAACTCCGGTTAGCATGTTTTCCAAAATTTAAGCTAAACAAATGAGCTTCATCGCTATTCGAGAGAAAAACAGATGAATTTTTCTTTTACAGACCAGTTATTACGTTAAACTAATATCTGCAATATTTATTTTACTAAAACATAACATTATTACACGCGCGCAATTTAGCTTTAAGAGTCAAGATAAACGATGCAAGAATTTCCACAGCCCTTCATTCAAGCACCATAGCACAATATATTAATTTGCTGCTTGATGAAGGTAAAAGCTCGTATGCGGTGCAAACTTTAATTTCTGATGTGTCATTCTGAAACAGAATTCCAAGTTGTTTTGATTATCCTGCTTGCCTCGGTAGGAAGCACGTACGACTGACCAGGGACTGTGTGGAACATAAAATATCAATATAAAATACTTAAATTACGCGTTGAACAAATTTAATATTTATTTGTCAAACTTATATTAAGACATTTTTCACAGAAAAGATTTAACAAAATCCAAAACAGAATAAGATATCCCACGAGCACCGTCAGTATCCTTATTAGTTCCTTCAGCTGTAATAAAATATAAAATTAATAACAGAACTTAGTAATCCTGCTCCGTAATGTTAACATTAATGTCAAAACATACATTTTATTAATTTTTATGTCTTAGAATTTTATATCATAACATTTGTTAAGTTAAATAATCATAAAAATTCGAATTTTAGACTTCTTTTTATTATACAATAATGTAATCACATGATTATCAAAAGCAATTATTTCTAAATAAGTAAATATGTCAACAATAAATAGCTGATTAAAAGTACTATCCTATAATCTAGCAAATCGAGCTGATAGCAACTATTTCGCATTGTTATGTTAAGTATCGAAAGGATTAATTTCGTTTTTGTAATTAATTTGATAATATCTTTTAAATTAATTACCCGAGATAAATGATTCTGGCTTTATCGTGTTAGACTCTTACTTTTCATATGACACTTCGCACGCGCGGCAACTTTTCCACGATAATTTTTTTGCGAGAGGCAACGAACGACTGACGATTTCATCGATCACTGGTCATTATAATCCCGAGTGATACCGAACGTAGATCGAAATCGACCGATGACACTGCCGTGTCGCAGACCGTGTGCTTTATGTAGGTCAATGCCCCGCTACGGCTGATTAGATTATATCCGCATTCTTACGCACGTCGGCACGCGCCGCGCCACGCGCCTCATGCGTTTTTTATCAAGCATTATCATATCATGCATGCTTACATCCGTATCTAATTAAAGCGGTGCACCTGCCAGATTTTCAAAACGCTGTAACTCAGCAAAAAAGTGACGTAGCGACATGCGATGAAAACTGATCTTCTCGGTTTTTCATGCTGCAGATTTTTATGCACACTGCACATGCTCTTATCACGATACACATATATGTATGTGTATTGCGCTCAGATAAACTTCGACATTTTACGTATCAAAATTGTTCGAACATATAAATGTATTTTTTTGATAGTGGCTGATTCAATTGATCTCGATACCGTTCGATGCGTCGTATCTCGATGCGTCGGTGTATTGCGATGTACAATGTCGCGATATAGTATTATTTACGCGCATATTTATAAAAATATTCATGATTATTTAACCAATGTTATGATATAAGATTCTAAGACATAAAAATGAATAAAATGTACATTTTAACATTAATGTTAACATCATCCGATTTGAATCGGTTTTTATTTAATTATAAATTACGTCGAATCTCTTGTTTCATTCTGGAATTTTAATTCTCGAGAGTACCGGATGCTTACCTCACAGCGTATTTATGCGCGATTGATGTTAATTATTCAGCACTTATGTGCGCAAGCACTGCGCAATCAGTCGATCGATTTAGTTGAGACGCCACAGAATGCCAAATAATCCCCAATGGAGCAAAACCAATCTCGGCAAATACTAATCTGTTGGATATCGCGTAATTATCTAGGCATGCGCACACAAGGTGCCACGTTTTATGACAATTATCTTGTGTTTATCGCCTGACATTCCAGGCAAAAGAAGAAAATATTTTCTTTTTCTATTTTTAAAAATAGACGAAGCTATAGCTGACGATGTTTTCGTGAAATCAAAATCGAATTTAAATTTGTCAGAGAATCCGTCATTAGTATTCTATGTTCTACAAGTTATTTGCTACTTAAAGTCGGTACAACAGTTTAACTTATTTGTGCGAAATATTTGCCTATCGAAAACTACATCTTTGTTTTTTATCGACTATTTTTGTATCGCATCTTTTATCACGCATTGACAAAGTCGTGCATAAATCGTAACTAAGCACGTCTTAGCGCAGCCGATATACACGCCTAATCCGTATTAATCGCCAGCCATTCATTAGGAAGTCAGCAATGGATGCCGCGTAATTCTGCACCTGGCGTACTCTCGCGATCAATCGCGCGCGCGTTTCTCTCTTACGATAAATCTTACCGCTAAATTGCTGCTATACGCCCGCAGAAGACAATGACCAAGTAAGCGCAACGGCTGCTGAGCTACGCTTATTTGTATTACCACAAATTGGCTTGAAAGAAACGCGGACGGCTTGACTGAAAGCAATCGAAGTAAACTTCTATATAGCTTTTTCGTAAGAAATATTGCCACGTGTATCAAACACATAAATCTGCGGGAGGAAAGTCAAAAAATAAAAGAAGCCTTTTGATTCTCGAATCAATTGAAAATGGCCCTTTACAATTTTATTTACCCCTCGTACATTATAGCGAACATCTTATATCTTTATAAATTTGTATTTTAATAAAACGGTCGTGCCACTTTCTCAGAGAATAAAAGCAAACTAAACTATTTTAGAATGAATTATTTATCAATATTTTCGAACGAAGAAGCTCGTAAAATTTGATTTATTTGATTGCAAAATATCAATCTTTTTTATACTTTAGAAACTTAACGCACTTCTTTTGCTTCAGATATTCCGTTTGAAACCTTCTTTCCGCCTTCTACTTGTTAAACATCAAGATCTCTCTGCTCGTTTCGGTCTCATCATTGTTCGCGATGCAAACAAGTCCCGACGGGAACACTTAATCGTATCTTGAGATTCTACTTGAGAAGGATCTTCCGGTCACCCGGTTATTTTTCATTTTCCATTGTTATCGCGCGACGAAACAAAGGTAAACGCGGTTGCACAAAAAGACCTTAAGACGGGTTTAATGGCGTTGGCGTGTCGCCAAATCACGGCGCGAGGTCGAATGCACCGATTGAAATGTTCATTACCGCCGCAAATCATCCAGCCGGTCTCTGCGGAAGGAAGAGCCGCCTGTACTATATATCCGCCACTTCGTATCTCTTTCAGCTCGCTCAACTACGCCAGAAACGAATAGCCGCGATAAATTCGCCCGCGTCGATTTTTCTCGAGAGGCGCGTCGCTTTCGCGCGAGATGATAGGTTGGAGTTCTCGGCGCTTATTACTGTGATTCACAAACTTATGAGAGAAGTGAAATGGGAAATCTCATCAGTTAGTTCAATTTTCGAAAGATGCAAAAAATGTTATGTATTTTCTGTGCCTATTTGTTAATAATTTTTGTGAAATTATAAACGATGTTTTATAAAATTTTCTTATATTATTTAAGTTAGAATGGGTAAATTTCTAACTGGGTATCTTTCAATTTGTGACGATTTGATATGCTCATTTTACTTTGATTTGATGTTTTCTTGTTCCAGACAAAGCTCCTTCGGAAGCGTCCTTCAGAGGAACTGAGTATCTCACAATAAATTTGAGTAAAGGAGAACCAGTACTCAGTACACAGGAATCTATAAGCCTCCAGTTCAAAACTAGACAACCGAATGGACTTTTATTTTATTCCGGTAAGTACTTCTCGTATTTTTGAGATGAATGATTTCCCTCATCTATCATAATAACTTTCCTCTAATAATAAATAGTAATTTTACTTCTCTGTTCAATTTAGTATTCAATTCAATTTTTCAATATTTAACACCGGAATGTTTGATATAAAATTAAGAATATGAAAATAATGATTGGAAGTATGATTTACCAAGAAAAGGATTTTTTTTAAAGAAATTTCCTATTTCATGAAGTTCAACTAAAAATAGAAATAGCCACGATAATCAAATATTTATAATATATCTCATTATGTTACATATTGTTATAAATTCTTTATTCTGGACGCGAACGCTCAATCTTAGAAATGCATGATTAATTGAAAACAATTGAGAAGGATCTACAATGGAATCGTATTTAATCAAGTAACTTACGGACGGCCGGATATCCTTCGAGAGAACGTAGATAGACAATGGCACCATCTTGGACAATGGTCGCATATTAAATCTTTGCGGTAGCTCCTTCTCTCGTGGCGACATTATAGCCAATTAGAACGTTTCAGTAATTTAAGTCCTAGACGTTCAATCAATCGAAGAAATTTTCAGTCTCTCTCTTTCTCTCTGTCTCTGTATTCTTTTTTCCGCTTACAATTTTCATTGTTCTCTTGCTGTACCTTGTATTTTAGGACGGTATTGTACCGGCTTTTGCTCGACCTCGATTAATCTCGAATCTAAAAGTGTTTCGTGTAGTTTCCTGAACAGGATAGTGCATGTCGTGTACGTTATCAGCTTAAGTTATCGAAAACCGATTGTATTATTTAATCTATCTCAGTAACACACCTGAGAGTAGTTTTATTTTAACAATTATAAGATTTTTAACTTTAAATTTAGCTCCAACAAAATTTTAGACATATTAAATATTTAAAAAAAATAAACAATGCAAAAATTGTTTGAGTTTTGTGCAATATAAAACTATTTTTTAAAGACAAATATCGAGAGAAAAACAAGAGTAAAAAGTGGCAAATGTTTGAAGCCAAAATTTATTTATAGAAAATAAGTTTGGACATGGAAAACGAGTCATGAAAATTTATTTTGCAATTTATCTCAAATGTATGCGTGCGAGAACTTTAACATGATAGAAAAATACACATGGACGGCATTTAATAAAATTTTTAGAAAGAAGAACGAGATAGAAACAAAGAAAAAAAAAGAAAGAGAGAGAGAAAAACAAAGTAAGCTGAGATAAAAGTTCCATTCTTACGCTTGTATTTCAATGAAATTTTCAATGATTCGAAGTTATCGTACCTTTATTATGCTAATTATCGCTTCATCTAGTTCTGCACATGAACCCTCAGTTTATCTTATATACTTACGTAATGAACGGTAGAATCAGTGCAGCCAAGATGGCAAGACTGCACCATCCGCAGTAAAAGGAGGAGTTTGCATCTCCGTTCCGGTTGCAACGGCAACTCGAAACCTATATATCGGAGCCGCAATGCCGTACCACACACGCGCGCACTCGCACACGTTACATACGGCACACACGTAGCACTCGTTTCTCTATCTTGCATCCCGCACAGCATACTCGCCCCAGGTCGCTCATTTGTTCTTGAGATAAGCTATAACGTAGTTGCGGCTGCAGAATCGTGCAATTTGGATTTCGCGTATTTTCATTGGACGCAATAATTATCGTGCCGCGTAATTTTTTATTCCTCAAAATTATGATCTTGCTTCGCAGAAATAGCGAAACAAACGGAATAACTTCTTTCGAAAGTTTCATCTGTACGTGTCCGACTAGTTTGCTCTCTTACTACTTGCGCTTTCCATTTCCAGCTGGTTCGCGTGTCGAGCCGCGGTGCGTTAAATCCGCATTGAAATTGTTTCGCTTTCATGGCAACTATCTGCAATACAATTATGCAAAGATATTTCTCGAATAAAATAGAAGGGATTTGGGAATTTAAGCGGATGGTTTGTCCGGAGAATAATTGTGCAAAATATATTTGAATAACGAGCGACTAACGAGTAACAATTTGAAATTACGAAAGTATTGAAATATTTGTGAATAATTGAGATTATTGGATGTATTCCTGAATATATTATCGAGCAACAATTGTTAAAAATTTTGTTTGTTCTTTAATATTCATTAAATATTATTCATATTTATCAACTTAGCGTGTAGTGTGCATAGTATTTAGAAAAATGGGCCATTTATTTCCGTAAACGCGTTTTAACCAGGTGTAATCAAAACGGAAGCGCGCAGGAGATCGCTGTCGATTTTTCGCGGAACATCCGCCACACAGGCGCTATCTCGGCGACGCGTAGCGCGCGTTATCGCATTTATTTTCAGAGAGTGATTCGCGATGTGCATTGCGCAGCAAATAAACGAACGCGCAGTCACGCGAGCGAGAGTGCGATACGCGCGTAATGAACTTAGGCGCATGTAAATGCGCCGCGCCGGCAAGCAATTAAGTACGAAGTACCGTCTGCATCTTTTATACGCTCCAGTCTCCCGGCCGTCCGCGAGATAATTAGTATGCGGTCACGGGCCGATTTTAAAGTGACTGCAGCAATATCCGACGGTGGCGTTTGCGAGATTCACGAGCGTAACGACACGTCTGCGACCGTTTGTGCTCCCGACATGTCTTAAGCATCCTCTTTCTCCAGTAATGGTAAAAATAATGGTCTCTGTTTTATAGAGGGCATACGTTCATGCTTTTTTTTTGTTTAAGAAGAAAATAAATAATAGAAGCGATTTTTAAAATAATTGAAGATTTTTTCCTTGACAATTTTTAAATTTAATCAAATGCGACAGATCGAAAAATTAAAAAACCATAACGATTTTTATATTATAAATGGCTTGATTGCACAATTTGAACATGTAAAGAAATTAACTGCTTTCTAATTGTTTCCAGCAGTAAATTACGCGTAAACGAACGCTTAAGAAAAGTGATAGATTTTATGGAAATACATATTATATTAAGAATGATTTCAAAAAGAATTTAAGAAATTTTCTATTATTCATCTTTAAGAACATTTTTCACGTTTTAAACGTAATTTTTAAATATCTCAGTGCTGCTTTTAAGAGTATGAATATTATGAAATTCCATTTTATTTTCAGTATCCGACGTGTTTTTGTTGTAGTATTGACAAATATATCTATGACACATCAGTCTATAAGACATTTAACAAATTATGATATTGTGCAGCGTAGAAATGAAAGCAGAAATAAAAAGTGCTCTTTATTTCTAATCTTACTTTCAATTGTCTTCGAAAAAAATGTAATTATTTCCATTGTGTAAACAAATACATACGTAAATGTATTCTAAATTGTATAAAAGTTTTTCATTACACTTTATATTGCTGACTGCCGTACACGTGTAACGTTTAATCGCAAAAATACACTCTCTATCAGCAGAATCATCTTAATCCTCCAACTTGTTACGAGCACAATGGCATAATCCGCGAGGATTTTGCCAAGCGAGCCGGGCACGATAATTATTAACGGCGATCGCCGGACGTTTTAACTGGTCGCCCGGATACTAAGTGCCCCGAAACTAATGGTTAAGCGGTCGTAATCGATTTATACGCGTCGCTTCGCGATATAATCCAGCGGGTGAATTTGACAAAAAATGGAGCGAGTGAGGCAAACCAATGGCGCGATGTCGCCGTGGGGATTAAAAAGTTGCATCGGAATCTGCGTGCGCTGTGGATTTTTTTCAGGCAGTGCGTGCGACGTTAACGCGTCAAAAGGGACCACGTTCAATAGACAGTAATGTCCCTGTCGCGCCAACACAAACGCGAGTGCAATGTCCATGACGATTCGAATCGAAAGGCTGCAAGCGTTTTTTTCCCGTTTTCGACAATTTCGCGTCAGCGTGTTGTCACGTTAATTTAACGACGCGTTATCTGCGTTTCGAGATTAAGATAAGAGTTTATCGGCGCGTGCAATACTCATGCTGACTTCATTAGTTCTGTTTTTAATTACAGGAGAGGGTGATGATTATCTCACCGTGTCGCTGAGAGACGGAGGCGCCGCGGTCGGGATGACGTTGGCCAAAGGAAGATTGGATCTGCACATAAAACCGGCCAGGGTGCGGTTCGACGATAATCAATGGCACAAAATCGTCGTCCACAGGAAAGTTCAAGAGGTAACAATCATGTTTCTAAATTATTTTATCCATACAAGCAAACTCGAATAACAATACTCTTAAAAAATATCTATCGCCTTTATTGCAATAAAACAATACTCTTTATCGCGCACGTATAACAATGAGTTATTTATTAAATATTTTATGATTTTTGCAATATCAAAAAGTGAAAAATATTATTAAAAGTATTTTACGATAGTGATTGCCTGAAGCTGATTCAATCACATTTATAAAAAAACGTATTGTTTAAAAGAAATGAAATTCTGTATTTATATTACACAGATTGGAATACAATTTGATTTCAAATAAAATAACATTACAATTGTTAAATTTTGACATTATATGGTGAATTCAATATTCATTGAAAGATGCCGCAACATTTTGATTGAGAAAAAAATCAGGTTTTGAATTAAAAAAAAAAAAAACATTTAACTTTGGAATATTTAAGCTTTTTAAAGTTAACACGAATTAATGCAATACTTGCATTGTAACAAGATCTAGTACATTAAAGTGGCTTTCGAATAAGCTTGTTTGGATTAAGCGTTAAATACTGATTTAAAGATAGAATTCAATTCAGAACTCAGTTGTCTTGGGAGATAGAAATTATCCAATATTCAGTACAACTATTTGATGTGTCTAAGTATATATTCTCAGCTTGTCTTTCACTTTTAAATGTCCAATTTTTAATGACCGGAAAGTAGAAAATCCGATACTGTCGGGACATTGAAGGCGTTAAATTTTCACACTGTCCCGATCCAAATGGATCGACGAACGGACGTGAGAGCAATTTCGTTAATGTCGTGGGTATATACTGGCATTCATTGCGCATTACGCGCAGTAGAATAGATAACGTAATTATTTGCGCGTTGCCATCGCGAGTTCCGTGAACTGCAGAACGATGTGAGTTTGTCAGTTTATCACCGCAAAATATTGGCATCCCTTGTCGAATTGTAACGCAGATTCGCTGCGATAATTACTGTAAGCTAATATTTGTTCAGGAATCTGTTAACTTTGTGCGAAATACGTTGTAAATTGATAACATAATTTCACTTGCACGTCTCATTTGTAACAGAAAAAGCATTAAAATTGTTAATTAAATTATCTACTAACGCGTTCTATCAGTAAAAGGCATCTGAGGTCATTTGAAGAAAAAAATTTTTATACAAAAATATCAAGACTACAATAGTTTTCAAGTGGAAAGTGTTTAAATTATTACACTTGAAACTCTTAACATTAGAGCATTTATCGAATATTTATCGAAATTGAGATAAAATCGAGAGTTTAAAATATAAAGTATAAAGTTTAAAAATAAAATTAGGCGTCAGTTTTTATATCTTTTTTCTACATAATCTCACAAAATTTGATATCCAAATTTCAAGTTGGAAAAGTTCTAACACTTAGTTTTAGAAAGTCCTTTGTTTCGCTTATGAAATTATAATATAGAAGCTATGAGTGTCTCAATATCTTTCTTTTTGGTAAAAGAAAAGTCAACTTGGCAAAGGATCCGCAATTCAAAGTTAAAAGTGCGCTCAATGATGGACATTCTATATATGGATTTTTCCAAGTTTATCTATACTTTTGTTCAGCACTTTGTTGCCACGTATCGAGTTGGGAGCCACTTCGCGTTCTATGCATGCACGATTTAAGACTTGCGGATACGCAACGCGTGAATTAGGTCGAGAATATAGTCCCACTAATGTCTGCCGCTGCTTTGGATAATTTTCCTGAACATACGCTGTTCGTTTGAGTCGCTTCCGCAGCTGAGTAAACGAGGAATCGATTCTCCGAGCGTGTGCCGAAGGATCGTCCTTCGCTGCGGCTAGCCCAAGGAAATATTTATCCGATAGTGTGATATAAGGGTGTTTCATGTTTTTGTATATAAGTAAACATATATATTTACCATAATTCCAATATTAGACATTATTATAAAATCAAGTATTTTATTATGTATAATTTGCAAATGCCTGATAAAAATTAAGCTAAACTTAAAACTTGAAGTATGAAGAAAGTTTTTTTACAAAACCTAATTTCTAAAGCACGCTTATCGGGAATCCATAAATAGTTTCAGTGTTTTTATCGTTTTTATTTTAATAACGTAATTATTAAGTAATGTTCATAACAAATTAATCAATACTTAGTCGCGAGTAATCACGAAGGTATACAATATTTAAGCCGCGCTCAAACATGTCTATTATTTATTATCGTGCTCTAGTTATCTCTACTTACGCGATGAGTGGCGATATCTCTCGACGCGGCATTTCAATATACATCGTATATGCATACGCGCGCGCTATGTAACGGCTTCCCATCGCGTTGCAAAGCGCCTGTTTGCGACGTATCTCGGACGGCTCAAAGCGCCAAGTAATTGTGCTCATTTCAATAGCGAAAGATAAATAGCAGATGGCGAAAAGCGGGTGTATCGGTCAGGCATGATTATTTCCCTTTACGATGGCTTTACAATGCACATTTATAGCGGCACGCGGTCTCGCCATAAAAAAAAAGAGTTTGCGTTTATCGTATAAAGCACGCACGGCGCACCCGCTCCGGTTTTTTTTGTTCGATATTATATGCTAGCTTCGCGGAAAGTGCTGACCCCGCAATACCGACGTGACCGTTCATACGAGTCCGGAATTATTAATAATGGCAGGTGTATGCATACCGTCGAGAATCATCGCGCTATTAAATTTCCAGCAATTACACGTCGAGCAATTTTATCTTGTACTTTGGAAACCATCTGAACGTATTGTGGCGTTCATAACAAACTTTTCAACTATTTCTCAAATCATTTTAACTCTATATTTAGAATATAAGTGTACAAAGAACAAAACGCTATCACTAATAATTTTTCTATGTATTTAAATTTTTGTTCTAAACTCGATCGCTGTGCAACATACGACAAAAAGAGAACCTGTGAAAAATTTACATCGCGCCTTTAATAAATAGGGGATTTGACTCTGGAGGGAGTAAAAGGGCGAGAAAAAGTACGAGACCACCGAGATTAATTGTTGCCTTTCGTCAAACGAAAATTCTTGCGCGACGTTCTTCTGTTGCACAAGTGTCCTGACACGGCACAGCGTGACGCGACGTTACCCTGAAACTATGCGTTTTCCGGGCGCATTCAAAGAGCAAAGGGCGTCCCCCGTTTATTCTCGAGCATTGTCTTTCAACCGGTTACTATCACGGTACGTGTAAAGGTTAATGCCGTGGTGAAAAGGGAGGATAGGTAGGAAAAGAGATTGGGTGTCTAGACACCCCTACTCTCCCAGTTAGACCTGTGCCTCGAGGGGCGAGCTGCGAGGATCGACTGCGGCGTGGATTGCCTATTACGTTTCTCCCGTGAACGTTTACACCCGCCGTGCGACGCACACATGGACACCATTATCCTGTTGATAGGTTAACCGTGCGGGTGCCACAAGCGCTTTTGCCGATAGATATGTCACATGTGTGCAACAAACGAATGTAATTGTTTTTATTTTCCGCGGAGTTTTTCGCATTGAAATTTTCGCGATATATTTCATTGTCTGCGGACGTTTCACATTACGTGCAAAATTAGTCCGTGAATGTTATTATTCCGTCACTCTTGACAGATACATTAAAAATTGCATTATTCAAGAAATTATTACAGCAATGATAAGCGTAATAGACGAGCAAATTGTCTGGAAGTTATTCAATAATCAGTAATGAAATTAATGGCCAAGAGAAAGCATATTTGTGTTGCTAAACTGTATTGATTATTTATAACTTAATATGATATTCATTATAACTTATTTATTGTATATATCAAGTAAAAATGTTATGTTACAATAGATGATAAAATTAAATAATACAACGACGCTCTTTGCGCGTATAATTCGTTTAAAGAAATGTTTATAAAAATTATTTTTTTCTTAACTGACATAAAGCTAGTATTATGAAGGGTGTTGAAAAGTACTTAAATATGCAAAGAGTTTGCAGAGAGCATATTGAATTATCTTTCGGAATCGAACAAGTATGGTCAGACTATTTTTATACTCGTTCAAGAATGTTTCAAACTTAGAAAAGGAGAGGAAACTGAAATTCGACTTGCTGACATCACGATGACACGCACGAGTGCGCTTAATGTACGGCACTTCGCAGCAACGTTCGTTAGCATCGACCAACACGAATACTTTGATGACGTTCCGCATGCGAACTTCTGAGATTTCAATCGATTACGTCGCTCGCGCGCGCCATAAATTAATCCCTTAAACGCGATTACCCGATTTCCACCCCTGAGATAAGCTTTATCGGCCAACGTCACGTAGGTTTTATTAAATTTAGTATAACGCATCGCTATGTATGTAATTCATGATCGCGATGAAACAAACCGGAAAGGGATACGATATATCGAATAAATTTTAGTGTCTGATATTTTTTACTTTTGATTACTCTCAAACAATTGCGGGAATTAGTGTTATGACTGCTTAAACGATTATGCACCACTAAATACTAAGCGAGAGATACTTGTATGTAAATATTATTAACATGAAGCAACTCTATATGAGAATTATATTAAAAATTTCAAATCTTTTCAATAGATTTTTTCAAATTAAATAAAAAGTTTTCTATTTTAAATAAAAAGCAGCAATATATAAAACTAATTTGAAATACTTTGGAATGAACAGAGAGGAAACGCGCAAATAGTCGAGTCGAAAATTCTCAAAGGATAAAGCCTGCCACGATCACGCGTGCTACTTCGCCCGAGAGATTTAGTCGATCTCTGACAGAAAGATTTAACACCATATCACGTTGGAGCTCCGTCCGCCGCGCCCACCGTGCATGCCTACGAGGGTAAACCCGTTCGATCCGCGCGTTTCTCCTCGCAACGAATTCACCCTCCTTTTACACGCGCGAACGAACGCTGGGTGTTGGAGACGGATCGCGCATCGTCCTTCGTATGTCACTGGATCACTGGGTGTCCCTTAGGCATGAGTACTTTCATCCCCCACTTTTTCGTGACGAAAAGTGCACCGACCGGAAGACTCAACCTTGCGTTCATGGATATATAGAGTGTTTCAAAGAATGCACGTTACAAAAATATAATATTGTATTTTACATTATAGAATTTGCATTCTTATGGTGGTTTCGAGAAATGCTAATTAACTTCTATTGATTAAGAATTTTACAAGTGAATTCAACAAGTGAAAACTTTATATCTTATAATTTTTTGTTTTATCAAGCATTTTACCGCATGGACGAGGCAATAGAATTGTTTGTAAAAAGCTCTGGTATTCACTGAGACGTACATATATACGCTTTAAAACTGAAATTGTGATTTTTACTACAGATTTGATATCAATGGATCTTTAATTTATCAATTGATTCGAAATAAAGGACGTGGAAATTTTCAGCAAAGATAAAAAAAAATAGATGGTAAAATCGTATCTCTCCAGATAATTCCAAAAGATTTTACTTTAACAGTATTTTGATTAATTATCAAGTTCTAAAAATGTACAATATTGACGATTGGAAAAATGCGATAAGTGATGACCTAGTTTGATATTTTTTGAGAAAAATTGATTATAAATTGATGAAAAATAGGTACAAGGATAGCATATCATATTTACATATTATCTTTATAAATTGCCGATCTTTAATAAGACATGTATTCAATCTTTGCTAAGAAAAAGTGACCTACAAATTTCTTCAGCAATGTAACTTGCTACGCTGGTTCTTCTTGAGTCACCCGATATGCGATTCGAACAAAGATTCAGGCACGTATATGTCCTACCATAAATCAAGATTTCAATTCGTCGTCTGCCGGATCGAACTTATATGCATCGATAGCGACTCGTTCTTCTCTTGTCACCCTCACACAACGTGGAGACTTTGAGAATTCGCTATCAAAGTATGCCATCTACGATACGTTTGTTGTCGCGATCGATTCTTGAAAGAGGAAACAGAAAATGCTCGTGTAATGATGTTCGTTGAATGTGAAGAAATTTGCGTGGAGTGATTGGACGCGCACCTACAAAACGATGAAGAGCACGGAAAAGAGATTAATGTGGAAACGTTTGAGAAAAATACGTGCAAACTTTTTGAGAAAAATTACACAAAACATATAAACGACAAATAAAATATATATTAACGCGATTTAGAAATTACGCAATTATTATTGTTATTTTTCTCGGATTGTTATTATAAAAATTGAAAATTTTGAATATGTTATGTTGCTTCGGAATATAGTTTTACACTTTATGTAAGAATATATGTTGCAATTTTCTCAAGTGTATCTCTCGTTCATGAATGGATGTGTCAAGAATGAATATTATTCGCTAGTTCAATGTTTGAAATATCCAAAGATAGAGATTATCGCGAATTCCGGTAAAATAGAAGGATCGTAGATCTTTCATTTGCGGAACGTTTGAAATGCGCGATCTAAATCCCAAACATTGAATCATTCTCGCGAGTAAGAGAAGCTTGTAACGCGTTCGAGTGGTTTCCTGGAGAACGTTTAATTCGTTACGTATGACTCAGCAGCGCAAACATTGGCTTACCCAAAAGAGATTCTGGAATGCCAGAATGTTTCTTTGATATCTGGTGGTGCATAATCCTTAAATTCATGGTGCCATGTGAAAATCTTGCCCGAGTCGCTGCTTAAGATAATTGTCGTGTAGCAATATCGTCGAGAAATTAAATAGCGTGATAGCGTGTTTAAATTAATTTAAGAATTCACACATTAGGACAGTAATCGGTTTTTCACTCAATCGGTTTTTCTTGAAATTTTCTCTAATCCTAGCCATTTGTTATTCCTTGCATCTTAATCGGGATTAAAACGAGAAATAATTAAATCGTTTTAATGCTTCACGTGTTATTTAATATTTTATTCTAACTTATTTTAATATAGATTATAAAATATCCTATAAAGCACTAACTTTTCATTATTCATAAATTTGCCTGTGTAACTTTGGTAGACATAAAGCGTTAAGCTTTACGTGACGAGAAGTTTATCGAGCCTGTTGCAATCCCTTTATCTGTTATCTATTTTTAGCAATATATTCATCGTAGGAAATCTCATCGAATATTACTCGCTTGTGCCCGAAGGCGGTCTAAATCGAAAGCCAATTAAGCAGATAGCTGATCAAAGGCAAACAATATAAGCGCGTCGACCTAACCTGCCGAGATATTAACATAATGCCAAATCAGGAACCGTTCGTACACAAGCCGATTGCAAGCCTCCGGAAGCTGTTTACTCTGCCGTAACGATACAGTACCTAAATTGACCATAATTAGATTCAGTATTACACTGATTGCGTGAAAGTATCCAAAGGCAAACTGCAAATTGTGTATGCTCTCTGCAAATTATGAACTTCGCTAAGAAATGCTACAACACAAACCAAGTTTAATAAAAGTAGAGCGGGATAATTAATACGTACATAATAAAAAGCGATTAAGTATTCGAGTTTGTAACCGTAGCGTGTCGGTTTGATTCGCACGCGATTATAGAATCGTTGAACAAATGACGGGAAAGTCTGACGGAGCTCGTTTGATTTGCGGCTCATTGAGAAGTTTGCGCGCGATAACCGTGACGAGCAGAGACACGCGTGCTCCCGTTTTTCGCGAATCGTTCCGCGGTGCACAAAGGCAAGAGCTCGCTTCGTCACCGGGTTTCCCTTTCCGGCTGTTGCCCTTCTGTCAGTCGTTTAATCGCCGCGTGATCAAAGGGATTCCTTAATAAGACCCGCACACAGCCGCAGGCTTGCAAACCGCCCGGGCTGAGAAAGCAAATGCACTTTATGCCACACGCACGTTCGACATTTATTGATGACAGAGATTTTACGAACACAGAATCTAGCAATTTCTTAATTGTTTCAGAAAATTTATCAAATATGAAACTTACAAAAAATTTATATAAAAAACTATGACATTTTTTTCTTATCTAACGTAAATAATACGATCTCTCAGCGTTCAAAGTAACGTTGCCGTATTAATTTTCCTAATTATTGCTTACTTAAAAGTTATCAGAAATAATCTTACTAGAACACTACAAAGCGCGCCCTACACACGCGCCACTTATCTTTGAGAATTTTAAATATATTTGAAATTACTCTTTTAACACACAAATTGTTTAATTACACACAACTTTCGGAATGACAAGTGCTCATGATACAAACTCATGATAAGCACAAGAAAATCAATCGGCATCTAAAAGAAGAGTTGTTCATAATAAATAAGACAAAATTGTAAATCAATATTTTCTTTGAAAAAAATATTGATGAAAATGGCGGAAGTAAATTACTAGTTTTCGATATTTTTTGGTATAGATTTTACAATCCAATATTATCCTCTGACAGTTCCTAAAGAAAATCCTAATGAATTTCTACAAATACAAAAAAATTATGATTTTCTGCTCGACTCGCTGCAGCTCTTATGCACCAAACTGCGAGTTTTACTCGTGAAGAATGAAAATGGTAGAAGTTTCTGCAAATACGTAAAATACGTTTGCGTTTTTCTCGAGCGACGCGCGTCGCAGCCACTCTCTTGCATCAAAAAAGTTCTTATGATAATCCATAGGAAAAGTTTCGCTCGACGTCGAATAGCTCGCGAGCTTGCGGCGATCAGCTCCAAGAGCTCCCGCGCGTCGGGCGACTCTTGAATTTCAATTGCCAGCAATTGAATCGCTCGGACGCGCGTGAAATGTACACGGACTTTCTAGTGATCCGCACGTTTATGCTTTCTGTTTCAGATCTCTTCAATAACCAGCTTTTGCAGGGTGAGTGTGATTTTTATTGTATCGTACAGTACGTAGGTTTTATATGTATCAATCGCTTGCGGATATAAAAGTAATACACATGTTGCAAAAATAACACAGAAGAAAAAACGGCTTTTTCAGTTCAATTAATCTAATTTAATTACCAGTAATACTAGAAGCGATCGTGATTATTAGCGCGAACGTATTAGCGCATTGGTTTAACACGCTAGTGGTGGCAGGTTTGATTCCCGCCGCCGCATAAAAATAAAATCGCTTTCTTTTGTTGAGTTAAAAATTTATTTATTTAATGAAGAGAATATATTTCATAAAGTACTTTGCATACTTTTATTTTAAATTTATATTAAATTAATAATTGAATTTTAATTGATTAAACATTACTATTCTGCTTGATTAAAGTACATTTTTTATAATTTTTTTGAACAGCTTAATCTTCTTAAAATTATCTGCACCTCTGTGAAATGCCAAAACATTTTTAACAAGAGATGATTGAATAACCATCTCTATTTATTTAGATCCTTTGACAATATTCCTATATTACTTCACTTATGTTTTACAAAAACACACGCGTGATCTCCATTCGAGTCTCGTCCTTCCTTCTACGTGAGTGTCGTTGTCTCCTTCCGGGCGGAAGGAATCCCGTGTGAATTTTTTATTGAAACTATTTCCACGAGAGTAGCATACAAAAATAGGTTGACAAATATCCTCGCATTATTTATTCTAGTCCAATGCTAGTGACTGTAAAATACATAGACGTTTTTAGTTTATACATAATATGATGTTGTGCTTTGGAAGCAAAACTTTCGAAGTTTTAATTGCTTAAAAATAATTTAAATAACAGTAGGTAATGTAAAAATTCAATTATAAATTAATTATAAATTTCTCTATTGTTATTTTAAAATAAAATTCTTGCTTGTTGCGTTTTTGTAATTAAAGTATAAATGTGATTTATCATTATAGTGTATAAAACTAAAAATGTAATATATATAAATGGTTATATAACTTAAAAAATGCAATATTAAAAGAAATTATGATCATGATTGAATTAGATAAATAAAAATGTTTAGCTGCATTTTATATTTTTATAATTTTAATATTGTTAACAAGTAAACAATTGCTTTGTATGCGTAAATGGAATAACATTTTAATGAACAATGAATTTGATATTCCGGTCTCAAAGAAATATATCAATGATTTTGAAGAGGTGACGGAAAAAGTTCCAACTGATGCATTTCACCTGCACTTGACTGCCTTCAAACAGGAAGGTGGAAAAAGATTTTGAAATGCAAATGGGTGCAAAACCGATCGATTGCATAATTTACGGTGCAGTCCACAAACTGAAAATACCGACGTTATCGCAAATTTTTTGCCACGTAAACGTAAATTACTTCTTTTACTTACCACTAACAATTTTTCATTAGCTAAGCACAACTATTTTATACAATGGACTTTTAAACAGTGTTTTTTATTTTATTTCATTTTTTTTTAGGTAATTTTATTGCGAATATTTCTATTTGACGTGTTTTTAATAACTTTATTACAGTAAAAATGTATAACGTAGTAAAATTCTATACACGTATGCACTCATAAATGGAAATTACAGCGTAACATTACGATGTAAAATAATATTTTTATTTTTTGCAAATATTTTCTCGAAATGTACAATGAAACATGGTCACACATACATTCCGTTCTGATATCAAATTAAAAATAGAATCTTTTGTAGAATTTAATTTATTGTTTAAATTAAAAAGCAATATATAGAATATAAATAAAAATTTTTTTCTTTCTAAAATTACACTTTTCATGTTACATTGACGCAACGCTATCATTCTAAAAGGCAGAGATAAATCATTCATGATGCAAAGAGCAAAAGATCTCGCATTGACTTTGCTCCCTCTTTTGCGTTCCACACAGCGATTGTACGCGTGGAACTTTTCACATTTTCTGTCTTTTCACCTCGATGTTCGAGTCTGAACCGCTCTTGAGACTCTCGCGATGCTCCAGTAAATTCGATGATGACGTTTCTCCAGTTTTCTCCGGTTTCTTGCGAATTTTTTCTCTTGTTTTTCTCTCATTTTGCGAGAGGCCTTTCAACTGCCTAAGGGTGTCGGGTATAATTTACGATCTCGTTAAAAACGTAGAAATCATTTATTTCCGTTGTACGACGTAATGTAGAAAAACGATCGGCGGAACGAATGAAACGAATAATGAAAGGAAATTTTACCGCTTTTATTTTGAACGTAATATGCTCTTTGTTATACAATAAAAATATTCAATATTTATGCAAATATTATTTATAAATAATATCAAAAATGTTACATTAAATTGTTCATATTTGTGCGATATTTTATAACATATATAATCTTTTGAATTCTTCTCCGTATTTTTTAATTGTGTACTGGAAAGATAAAAAAATGCTCAATTGTTTAACTTATTTTTATTTATATTTTCTAGCAAATATTTATTAAAAATAAACTCATTTATATATCAGTAAATTATATGTCATTATATTTGTGACGTAATTTATGACACAAAGTGCATAAGACATTAAAAAATATTAGCGACAACAAAGTACAATACATTCTACGTCATTACGGTGCGTACAAATGCACAACGCTCATCTTCCATGAGCGGCTAAGTGGAGCTCACATCTGGATGTAATAAATAGTCTACTCCATCCCCTTGTCATTCCGTTCGCTCCATATTCGTCAAACGGGGATCAGCATACTCTCTGCAAGAGGGAGGATCCTTTCGCGCATAGGTTTCCTCTGGGTGGGTTTGCGGCCCACTTTCTCGGTTGCGCTTATTGTGTTGCCCCAAATACATTGTGCACGCAACCGAAGAATGTCTACTGACGCTCGGTGGCTCACGATTACCATAATACCGAGAAAAGAGGCGCTATTAAAGGATCTGTTTCCCTTAAACTGACTACGCATGACTGTCTCGCATGTTGTTTATTTAGATTTTTTTTAAGCAACATACTAACAATAATTAATTTTAGACGCTGCATGCGATAAAATATTTAAATCCAAATATATGTTTCTTCGCCGCAAAATTGCTTTAATTATCCATATGTCGTATTATTATTATTATATTTTATATATTTCCTACAATTTATTATCATGAGATTATTTGCAACGTCATAATTATTACGTTCCAACGGGACTGACGAAGAAAACAGTGCGGAACTTAAACATTTATCATTGAACTTTCAGTGAAAGATGACGATAACAAAATGCACATTATATGTTGACGGCGACGAGTTATAAATTATCACGTTAGCCTAATTTTGCAGTGAGAAAATAGTCACCTGTACAATGAATTGCCAGTTCAGTTCACATTGTGACACTGTTATAAATGTTTAAGACGGCCATTAGCACGAGTCAGCGAGTCCAGAAGCGGCTAATGAAGATGGAAAATTAATTAAGTCGGAAAATTAATTCCTTCCCCGCGATAGAGCTAGATATCGCGGTTCTCCGATTCGAATCAAAGCTGCGAATTTTGATTTACCCCAGCTTAATTAAATTTCCACCTGAATTAGCGACTCACCAAGTGGGCTAATTCACCGACGTAATGAGCCCTGCGAGATTTAAAGCTAGAAATTTATAAAATCAAGTTATATATTTAAAATACTCTTTATAAAGTGTAGTTTATTATATAGCTCGTATGTATCCTTTAATGATCTTTCAGAAAAAACCCGATCAATATATAATAGCTAAGTCGATATACAAATAATAGTTAATTAAAAGCATATGATATTAACAAGTATTGAACAATTTATTACCTTTATTAAATGATTGATTATTTTGCTTAATGATGATTCGCCATTTATATATATATATATATATATATATATATATATATATATATATATAATAATACTATACTATAATAA